GTTGCTTCAGAAAACTGTTTCCTGAATGGAATTGAAAAGCTTCACTATCGACACGAGAAGTGTATTGAAAAACAGTGAGATTATGTTGAGAAATAAAATTAAAAACACCTTCACAATTGTTTGTTTTGTTTGTTTGGCTCAGAACATTTTGACCAGCCCTCGTATTTATGTTGGATTCCTGGTGGAGCTGAACACTGTGATGCTGTAATAGGAAGCGTTACATGATATTGGAAATTGTACCAGCTAATCCCACTGCCAAACAGACTTCAACCACCTACCTCCAGGGACAAGACCCGTCATGGAACCAGGCCTGTGGTAGACAATAATGTTTCCGAGGTATGAATCGATCATTCTACGTTGCCCCAAGTGTTGACAAACGCATAAATATTTAAATGTCAATATAATAATAAACGACACAAATGGCTTGCTAAAACCTGCTCAGTTTTTATTACCTAATGAGTAATACATTGTATCAAATTTAGCTTCAAGTCTGTTGTAGAATGACCAGCAACTGAATATAGTACAGTGTTAATTATAGACACCGAGTCCCCATCAAATATTGATGAAACATCATGTCCCCAATCGGTGTGCAATACATTCTTTGGAATAAAAAACAGACAGAACAAAAAATGTTGGGATTTTATTAAGTTATATTTTCATGGAGAGGTTAGTGAAAGTGTAATTTCTGTCCCGTGTGACGTCCATGTCTGTGTTGATGGATAGAGGTAGTTTCAATATTCTCAGCGCACAATTCTTTGGATAAATATAGTGGTATTGGAAATCATGTAGTATTTGTCCGACATTTGTTTACATTGAAAGAATATTTTGTGAATTGGATATTTAACCTATTTTCTATTTAGCAAAAACTTCTTTTCTCAGCAAGGTTGTTATGTTCTGTTGCATATAAATAATATACATGATATAAATAATATGAATAATATAAATAATATAAATAATATGAAAAGCTTTCACTTTTCCCCAAAATGATACAACTTTGTAATACATCTTTTTTTCCGAACCATAAATAATACATGTTTTCAGGTTATTTGTTAATTACTGTGCCTCCTAAGAAATACCCTCAGTCCAATATATGATTTTAAATTACATTAGTACGGCAATATCATACAGATTACACCTCGTTGGCTTTCTGATTACCCCTTAGCAGACAAATCCTTTAATAAAACACAATAAAGATAAAATCAATCAGATGTCGACATTACATTATCTGGTTCAGCGATTGGCCAACCTGACGTCACTCCTAATAAGGATGGAGGAGTCCCTGACTAGTACAGCCCAGGGGTATTAATCTCATGCTATAAGTAGATCTTACTTTGGCAGAGTGGCACTGGTGAAAGTCAATATAATATTGGTAAGACCGGGTTTTATAAAATATTGTCACAATAGAGTCTTCCCGTTGCTCTCTATAATTACCTCCGCACTGACTCCGTTAATGTGCTTCCATGATGGAGGTATGAATGCATCTCCCGTTCAGTGACAGCAACTTCTGTTTAGGCGCATGTCCATATTGTTTTCTCATATACCTAATGGACACGTTTTTCATTACGACAACCACGGGCTGTGTTGACCCACGATGGGATGATTATTATTATAATGGACAGAGAGCAAAATCGGTGATTATCTCCCATTTCATGGTATTTCGGCTTCAAATTGTCAAAATACATTAGCGTCATGAGTGTTTCATGAACAGTATCATTGGCGTGGATATTGGAAGAATTCTTTATTTGTGACAAAAGATTATGCCCGATGCATTTCCTTTTTTGACTTGTATCATATGTTCCCGTGTTTTTTTCAGGTGAAAAATTGACTTGCATTTGCATGTGTTTGTGAAGGGTGTCTGTGGTGAGGCAAGATACGCACACCTTTTCGCGAACACCTGGTATCATTACTGTTTGATAGTGATTAATAAACACATGTTCATGATATAGTCAGAATCGTATAGTCGACTCTGCTTTTATCAGAACTTTCTTATGATTATGGAAAGGGTTTTGTCGCTTTTATTTACTCCAAGGATCATGCTTGATGACATAAAGTTGGTCTCTAGTTCCTGCAGTGGTAACGTCGTTGATGGCATAGAGTTTATTTAGAATTAATGAATAAACAACTTCATAACTACAATCGGGGACAATTACATCACTTGCTTGAATGTGTTAGAATATACACGGAAAGGTCGCCTCAATTGTATTAAAGAGGTTGTTTATCTGCGTGAACTTGTCGACATTAAGCTAGTCTACAATCCATGCAGTGTAAATGCCCTTCGGTTTGATGATACCTTAAGCGTACACGAAAACGGGGGATGGGGGTGTGTGGGGGTGGTGGTGGGGGTGGGGGTGGGGGGTGGGGGGGGGGTGGGGGTGGGGTGGGAGACTGCAGACCGCCTCACTCAGCAATATATTCCAGTCATATTACGGTGGTCTGTAACTAATAGAGTCTGGAGAGATTGACATTATTAGCATCGATCCACGCAACTGGGATGCGATGACATGGATCAACCAAGTCAGCGAGTCTGACCACCCTATTCCGTGAGTCGCCTCTTACGACAAGCATAGTGGCCTTTCACGGCAAGTATGGGTTGCTGAAGACCTTTTCTACCCCAGATCTTCACAGATCTACTGGCATTAAGACGAAGTCTGAACACCTAGGCTCCGTTCCACAAAGTGATCTTAGCACGAATTTGATCGTAACTGCCATACTATAACATCCTAGGCTTACGAGCATCTTACTGCTAAGATCGCTTTTTGGAACGGGGCTTAGATCCCTATTATAATCAACTCTGATAACAAATATGAGATTCTGGGGAGCTATACCCACATACCTTGACGACATATAGTATGTGTGACTGATCTTGATGATCTTTTACACTCGGTTAACTCGGGAAGACGGGTTTTTACGTTCTGTCTGAAAAATGGAAATTTTCGGCAAGTCAAGCCTGTTCGATAGTCAGGGCATCTCGCGATCTTCACTTCAGTATATAAGCTCTATGGGGTCAGGTAGGTGTGTGCACGAGACGCTGTACCGCTGTCATATATAAGTTTTTATTCCTCCAAAGGAGAGTACAATATGCAGGGCAAGGTATGGAAAAATATTTAGAGGACTAGATACATGTTTTAAAGTTCAGGAGTTGATGCGAATGCTGAAAGGTGCTGTATTACAGTCTTTGCATAGTTTATTGTATCTATCTTCTGGCAGAGGAAGTGGAGGTCTGCACGAGAGCAGAGAACACACAGATCACAGTCATTTTTACTGTGGAGACCCCACGCTCACTTCTACAGGACTACAGTCTATAATGTCCATCCAGAGACTGTCACGTATATGTGTACGGTTCCCACATATGGGGAACAAAACGTGGTACAAGACAGAATTTCAGTCAAATAGTGTTTCGGCAGGGGTTATGTAACTTGTTTACACTTTCTCTCGCCCACATTAAGTCTGGACCTGATTGAAACTATTCTTCTCACGTCATTGACGCTGTTAAGTGTTGATTAGCCATCGAAACGAAACTAGCACCACGGGGCTTCATTTGACAGGTATGGCTTCACGACACCGTTCAAAATTGGTATCGCTATACCGCACCTGTGTTTTGTTACGCGATGTTTTAGATATTTCCCTAGTTATATACCAATGGTGGAGGGTAGCATGACGAGTGTTTACACCGAAAATAATCAATTATTTTTCTGAGGTAAATCAAAATATTTTTATTGAAGAAAATTATTACGTGGAAATGGAAAATAACGGGGTGTATAAACAAAATGTAATTACTAGTAACTGGTTTGGCTCAAGTTGCATAAATGAACGTACGACCAAGGAATCAACGTAATCACATGAGATGTTAAGGTCCCCAGTACACCATGGCAGTCGATAGATTGTTACAATGTATGGCACACCTGATTTTGTGCAGTTGTTTCTCGACGTCGTGGACGAGTGTGCTTGCCCTTTTTACGCCTCTTTTAGAAATATTCCAGCAATATCACGACGGGGGACGCCAGAAATTGGCTTGGCACATTGTACCGGTTTGGCGAATCGAACCCGGGTCTTCGGCGTGACGAGCGAACGCTTTAACCACTAGGCAACATCATCGCCCCTACTTCGTTGACGACTCGCCGTGATATGACTGAATTATCGCGGCGTTGTAAACTTTAACTCGTTTATTTTCGACACTAATACCATGTTATTTAAGAAATAAACGACGAGTGGGAGTTGTTCATCGTACAATAAAACATTGCAGGAAGAATAATCAATGACTCCCTCAATAGAATCCGATTTCGGCAACGTCGGACAAGTCCATTTTGTGCACAGGTGGGTATTTCCCGCATATTCTCACAATCCTCACGTCGATTACCTGTATCATTTCTCCAATAGAGATTGTCATATCTCTCCTGCTTTTGGATGCGATGGTTCGGCCTTCGCTTTTATCTGCGTTGCCCAACTACATCTATGGGAAACTACTCGCTAGACACTCCCCTCTCAAGTAACGTCGTCATATATACGACGTCATCAAGTTGCGAGCGCATGCTCGAATCTTCAGAAATGACGTCATGATAGAATAACGTTTTATCGTGAAATAAACCACGCTTCGTTCTTTATCGTTCTTTGCGATTTATCGCGTAGCTATCTTATATTGGCTTAGAATCGATACAATGATTTCTGGTCCTGGCTGAATAAAGCATTTCCAACCCTAATACGTGTACAGCTGACGGCGGACTGACTGTATTCAATGATTGAAGATATGGGTTATATGCTGGGACACTATGTCAGTAACAAACTGCCCTGACTGCAGAAGTGAGCTGGACAGGTGGCATGCCCGGATGTGTCAGTGAACCCGGATCTTTTGTAGGTATTCATTCATTGCGTTTCAGGAAACACATACCTATTTTGTCTCCGAATGAACTGGAGATAAATGCATCAGTAATCTGAAGGAACGCAGCTCTCTGTGTGTTTGACGACGACTGTACAAATACGGAACAGGAAGCAGGGTACGGTTCATGGGGGTGGGAGGTGATGTGATACATAACTTCAGCCATACCCACACCGCGACCTCCCCGCACCACACCACACCCATACCCAAGACCACGACCTCCCCACACCACACCACACCCATACCCAAGACCACGATCTCCCCGCACCACACCACACCCATACCCAAGACCACGATCTCCCCACACCACACCACACCCATACCCAAGACCACGATCTCCCCGCACCACACCACACCCATACCCAAGACCACGATCTCCCCGCACCACACCACACCCATACCCAAGACCACGATCTCCCCGCACCACACCACACCCAAAAGCAAGACCACGATCTCCCCGCACCACACCACACCCATACCTAAGACCACGATCTCCCCACACCACACCACACCCATACCCAAGACCACGACCTCCCCACACCACACCACACCCATACCCAAGACCACGATCTCCCCGCACCACACCACACCCAAAAGCAAGACCACGACCTCCCCACACCACACCACACCCATACCCAAGACCACGACCTCCCCGCACCACACCACACCACACCCATACCCAAGACCACGACCTCCCCACACCACACCACACCCATACCCAAGACCACGATCTCCCCGCACCACACCCATACCCAAGACCACGACCTCCCCACACCAAACCACACCCATACCCAAGACCACGACCTCCCCACACCACACCACACCCATACCCAAGACCACGACCTCCCCACACCACACCACACCCAAAAGCAAGACCACGATCTCCCCGCACCACACCACACCCATACCCAAGACCACGATCTCCCCGCACCACACCCATACCCAAGACCACGACCTCCCCGCACCACACCACACCCATACCCAAGACCACGACCTCCCCACACCACACCACACCACACCCATACCCAAGACCACGACCTCCCCACACCACACCACACCCATACCCAAGACCACGATCTCCCCGCACCACACCCATACCCAAGACCACGACCTCCCCACACCACACCACACCCATACCCAAGACCACGACCTCCCCACACCACACCACACCCATACCCAAGACCACGACCTCCCCACACCACACCACACCCATACCCAAGACCACGACCTCCCCACACCAAACCACACCCATACCCAAGACCACGATCTCCCCGCACCACACCACACCCAAAAGCAAGACCACGACCTCCCCACACCACACCACACCCATACCCAAGACCACGACCTCCCCACACCACACCACACCCATACCCAAGACCACGATCTCCCCGCACCACACCCATACCCAAGACCACGACCTCCCCACACCACACCACACCCATACCCAAGACCACGACCTCCCCGCACCACACCACACCCAATAGCAAGACCACGATCTCCCCGCACCACACCACACCCATACCCAAGACCACGACCTCCCCACACCACACCACACCACACCCAAAAGCAAGACCACGATCTCCCCGCACCACACCACACCCATACCCAAGACCACGACCTCCCCGCACCACACCACACCCAAAAGCAAGACCACGATCTCCCCGCACCACACCACACCCATACCCAAGACCACGACCTCCCCACACCACACCACACCACACCACACCCAAAAGCAAGACCACAATCTCCCCGCACCACACCACACCCATACCCAAGACCACGATCTCCCCGCACCACACCACACCCAAAAGCAAGACCACGATCTCCCCGCACCACACCACACCCATACCCAAGACCACGATCTCCCCGCACCACACCACACCCAAAAGCAAGACCACGACCTCCCCGCACCACACCCAAAAGCAAGACCACGATCTCCCCGCACCACACCACACCCATACCCAAGACCACGATCTCCCCACACCACACCACACCCAAAAGCAAGACCACGACCTCCCCACACCACACCACACCCATACCCAAGACCACGACCTCCCCACACCACACCACACCCATACCCAAGACCACGATTTCCCCACACCACACCACACCCATGACCACGATCTCCCCGCACCACACCACACCCATACCCAAGACCACGACCTCCCCACACCACACCCATACCCAAGACCACGACCACCCCGACAACAACACCAAAATTGCACACCCACACCCACACCCACACCCACACCCTCACCCACACTGACAATCAAACACCACACAAACCCCCAATACCACACCAGTCCCCACAACCATACCAACCCCCACAACCATACCAACCCCCACAACCAAACCAAAATTGCACACCCACACTGACAACCAAACACCACACAAACCCCATATACCCCACCAGTCCCCACAACCACACCAACTTCCACAACCATACCAACCCCCACAACCAAACCAAAATTCCACACCCACACCCACACCCACACCCACACCCACACTGACAACCCAAATCCCACTGACACTCACAATCGCTACCACATCGAACTCAAAACCCATCCCATGCCATCACACGGGAACACCATGCTACCACACCTCCTACACCTATGGCGAGGCTCGACCCTGCTGTCGTTATGATGGGACCAGAGGGCCACTCAACCGCTCCTCAAACCCTGCCAACAATACACACACATCAGTTTCAGATGTGTACAGCAGGAATGCTAAACAATAGAAGGCACTACCATTCCGGTCAAAACAACAATAGACCAACCACAAATTGCAACAGAATGTTTTCGTTGATCCATATTTAACAAGCCCCCCTTAATATCATATCAAAGTTCCAACAAAATCTAAAAGGAGGAACTTTCCAAATTGAATCATCTTTACTATGGCGATTAACCAGCAGCGAGACTAAATGCCTAAGCTCCGGGGGTTCAATACCCCAAGATACTGGCTTGATCATTATGTGACGTAATATAATGATACAATCATGACTAGCTTTCCTTAAGTATTTCTAGAGTTTGTTGTTTGATGTTGATTTTAATACCACAATATGAAAAAACGTAAAAAGCCTTTCCATAATCATCAGAAATAAAAGCAGCATCCGTTGCACGATTCGGCAAGATAATGAGCATGAGTGTATGAATCACTATCAAATAGAGATGATGAGAAGTGTTCCATAAGGTGAGTGAGTGGCTTCGCGATGAAGATGACAGCAGGCACGTCTCCTAGAGTAGGAAGCTGGTATGATGCCAATGGTTAAAACATCAAAGTTCAGAAGACATCAAATCGCGGATACAGCATTTTGAAAAATAAAACAGGTGTGGGATTTCGAACACAAGTTAACCCTTTTTCTTTGATGCTTAACGCCGCAATATTTCTGCTATATAATGAAGTCGGTCAGTGAATAATCGAGTTTCGAGAACGACAATCCAGTGATTGACAGCCTGAGGCTTGCGGTAATCAATTAAGATACGATGACATCCATCAACCAAGAAAGCGATCCTGACAACTTAGTCTCTTTTATTACCTCTTACCAACAGCAAGGGTTCCTGAAGAACAATTCTAACCAGGATCTTCACGGGTAACATTCAAGTGCTCAAGATAAATACAAATACACCAGACCCGTGAAAGACCGGGGTGGAATCAGTCTTCAGGAACCAATTCTTGAGGTAAAAGGCGACTATGCTTGTCGTAAGAGGCAACTAACGGGATCGGGTGGTCAGACTCACTGTTTTGGTTGATGCATGTCATCGATGCTCATGATGCCAATCACTGGATTGTGTGGTCCAGACACGATTATTTACAGACCGACGCTATATAGCTGGAATATTGCTGAGTGCGGCAAACAAAATACTTGATAAAATGCATGTATATGGGAAGTGCAATGGAGTCTTCATGCATGATCACGATCAGTTCTGGTCCGTGTTGGTCGGTGCTTGTCCGTGTTAGTCCGTACTGGTATGTGCTGGTCCGTGTTAGTCCGTGCTGGTCCGTGTTGGTCAGTGCTGATCCACTACCCTTCTGCCTCTCCTCTAATGATTCTGCATTGTGGATTAATTAGTAGAACGTTAGTCATGGTGACGTTATCATCACCAATTTGTTTATTTTCGTATATGAAATACAAATAAAGTATAGGATTGTTATTAACTATGGGACGATATATGATATACGTTTATCATTATACAAGTACCACAAGCTGCACCAAAACCAACACAAGAGCCGACCAATTATCCAAATTAGAACCTCATAAACAGACAGAACACAACGTACAAATAACATAGAATGGGATGTCGGTCAAGGCAGATTGAACGTTTCAAGGTAATGGTTGAAAATGGTTTGAAAACGTTAATGGTGATATTATGTTTTTTTATGAAACTGTTGATATTTTCAAAAGTGTTTGTAAGAAATTGAAAATAAATAGAAATATTTATTAAAAGACTGACATGTATATTTTTGTCGAATCCTACATTACATTAGAAAAAGTACATTTTCTTAGCTATATTTTTATGTACACTTTAGGTTTAGGGGTGAATGTCTCCACACTACACATGAACATATGCCACACTTACAACTTGTTAGTTCCTAAAATCCTGTCACAAATATCATTCAAATCCCTGTTTTTGTAAGTAAATCCCAATTAGCCTAAGACTCTTCAAGGTGAACTGGCCCTTGGGATCAACATGCACTTATGAACTCCACCCTGCTGTTCCGCTTATTTACGTCACGTGGTAATCTCGTAGAGCGCGTGGCCTCGAGAAGTGTGATATCGTCTGCCAATTAACGAGCAGACGATAGAATCCGGCTTTTATTCCAACAAACAGTAACCGTTACAATATCATATTAGTAGTCGGGGAGCGGCGCGGGCGAGTTGTAAAAGGTAGGCAGGCTTTCTTTGTGTCTTAATTGAGTCACCTGTGGATTCAGGGTTCGACCGTCTGCAGTCCTTGGGTCTGTTACACGGAGGTACCTAGAATAAGTAGATAGCATGAAGACGATCATGTTTGTTTGTTCTATCACGAGTTTCTCATGTTCTTTTGGTCTCAATGGTTATGGCGTTTATAGTTACAGACCTGTTTTGAATGAATACACAATGCCATTTAAGAAAGTGGTCAAATGTAACAAATGTTATATTTGGGATAACGCTTTCTTAGTAAAGTACAGATTCTCGTACTTTTTGGGGGTTGAGTCCCGTCCGGGATTCGAACCCACACTGACAGAGTGAGTCACCTAATCGCCAGCACACTTTAACCCCCCAAAGTACGAGATTCTGTACCTTACTTAGAAACTGTTTTGAATGACTAACTTGGGTTGATGTCATTCACGTAAAAAGACGGGCGTGCTATGACACAAGTTTTTTTAATCACAAACTGGGGCGGTCGGGTAGCCTAGTGGTTAAAGCGTTAGCTCGTCACGCCGAAGACCCGGGTTCGATTCCCGACATGGGTACAATGTGTGAAGCCCATTTCTGGTGTCCCCCGCCGTGATATTGCTGGAATATTGCTAAAAGCGGCGTAAAACCATACTCACTCACTCACTCACTAATCACAAACTTGTGTTGTATGTATACTATCTCTTACATGCCCTTGGGCATATTTTGTTAGACAATTCCAATCTCATTGCTTTCCCCTTCTTACCCCCATGAGAGAGAGTTGTCGTCACCCTACCTGTAGCTTGGCATTGAGGGGACAAAACAAGGACTGGTCAATATGTTGTGTCAGAGTGGGGTATCCATGTTAAACTATGGCACGGTATATGATAAGTATTAGTCCGGACTAGTACTAGCGCACGCACACACGCAAACGCACACGCACTGACACATTGTTGGCATGTTATCTCAGTGGGAAAGCACTTTAAAACCGGGATTACTCCGGACTAGCACAGGCGCGCGCACAGACAGGTGCATGTACGTCGCTATATAAGTTAATTATCTTTAACGTGACGTTAAATCCTATTTCACCCACCCAATATTTAATTAGATGATATTCAATCCTTATTTCATGGAATAAATGTTATTCTACCTGTTAACAATTGAGTGCAGCTATGACAGAAACCGTAATTAATGACTAACTGGTGTTGACGGTATACACTGCAACATACAACTTAATAATAACACAAACTGTTGTAAGGCAAACTTCGGTTCAAGCTTTACCAATTTGAAAACAAGCTTCGTTAATAAAAACACATTTACCAAAAAATAAATCAACACGATGAATTGATATATTGCATGTCCGGTCTCTTGTTTCTTTGGTCTCCTCAGTAAAGCTCATATTTCATCGCATAACGACAATGGCGCCTTTAACTATGGAATCCTAGAAGAGACATTTGTTGCTGTGTCGCATTGTCGCCCTTTGGTAAAATTATTCAAAGAGCGACAATGCAACAAAGTCCTTTGTACGATTCCGAAAATATCTTGAGCACGTGTTTATGAATCACTATCAAAAAGTGATGACACCAGGTGTTCGCGATAAGGTGAGCGTATCCTGCCACACCGGTGCCACCCGTCACAAACACATGCAAAGGAAAATCAGTTGTTCACGTGAAAAAAACAAGGGAACATATGGTACAAGTCAAAATAGGAAATTGCATCGAACATCATTGTTATCACTGGAATGTCAAATTTTGAAATGATCTCCACATGTCTACTCTAAAGTATTTCAAAAACTTTACTGAGGCCTTGAATGTTGTAACCTTATTATGATCAAACAACTTCTGAGCAAGAATCGTATGACGCTATTTGAAATCTTGTCTGAAAGAGCATGCTCGATTGTACCCAGAAGTTGCGAAATGTTACCAAAGGCTGGAGCTGCAGGAATATTGCTGACATAAAGGGAAAAAATAAGTTGACTATTAGAAAGTTGAAGACCTCCCTTGTGATACATTCTTGTGTCACTCTGAATCTTTATGCACAAATCTAAATGTGAAACAGACTGGGCGGTCCCACTGGTCACCTTTTTTTCTGGTTCAGGTCGATAAATCCGTGGAAAGAAATTGGCTATTTGATGGTTATTGAACGATATGAGATCATCGATGTACCTGAAGCTTAAGTGAACTTTCTTGGTCAGATTGCCTAGTTTTGACTTTGCCAAGACGAGCAGAACTTCCGATTCATATGCAATAAGAAACAGATCAGCACGAAGAGGGGCACCATTGGTGCCAATGTGGATGTCGCCTTCTTGCCTGAATGTCTTACCCCCAAAGTTTACAAAGATGTTATCAGTGAAGACGTCCAACATTTCGCATTTTGTTTTTTCAGTAAACTTCACATGGCATTTTCATGTTCAGTTTAAGCAACACATTGCTAGAACAGACAGAACGTGCACTTTCTTTCTCATTAAGGCAATATTTCTGACAACTAAACCTGTTTACAGTAAATAATACTATTACTTTGTCTCTAAGCCCGAACTCGATCTATCAATATTGCTTCAATGTTTGAGGTCTTGACTCCCTAATCATTTACTACAAACGTATACATCAAATGGTAAGACGTGAGCTTTTAACAGATCGATGTACACGCAATCCACAAATAAAACACTGAAGGGTGTATTCAGAACAGCGACAGCTGTCTCACAAGTGATGTGTGTTTTAGCTCGTAAACAATTACATTTTCGCATTGAAGTTAAACACTGCCTGAAGAAAGACTGTGTGTTGATTTATTCAATTCCAAGTAATGTATGGAACGGTATGCAGCTGTTGGAAGGGATGTTGTTTAAATTATAAAAGTACAGAGGATTATATATCATGTTGATTTGGTGGGATTGGATTCCTTCTTTGTTATCCTACGCATGTACCAACAAGTATCTATTGCACATACTCGTACGTAGTTGTAGTTTGGCATGTTTAACAAATTCAATAATTTGTGATCTGTTTCACGGTTTAATTCTCTTTCAAGTGGTATCATGTTGAATTGTTTGATAGGTATTACTTAGAAGTTGACGGAAGACAAAGTAGACACAATTTATGGTTAACCACTTCTTTAATTAAAACGTTGCCTTTACAGTAATTAATGAAGTTGTTATCTATAAATTGTGTCAACTTTTGTATCACGTCACTGAATTCAGGAAATAACATCGCGGGTAATGGGATATTCACGAAGTGCGAGGATCTTTATTCAGTTTCAATGTTGTTTCATTGGACCGACGACATGGATTTCGCCAAACCGTTATTTGCTTATTTCGATGATTATGACTTTCCCATGCATTCGACTACTAGAAACAGTATTCAAGAATGCGCAGGAGAATCGAGAAAGTGTGAGTATTAGATATTGCACTCTTATCTCTCAGACTCATAGTACCGTCTATTTTGGGAGTAATATCTCGAAGTGGTCTGTGAATTCCGCCAACTTGTTAATGATAATTGCCCCCGCGCATGAAGGTTCCGAGATCGATTCCTGATTATTGTAAATCAGTGACCAACACCGCTGCCCTCGGGGTGCCTTGTGGACTTGCACTAAAAACAATTCTCCCATCAACTTCATTGGATCCAACTAATACCAGAGTACCCTTCTCACTTTATCAACGTTTCTTATCAAACGTGATAGCACTTTCAATCTGCGGCTGCTTGCTCCTGCACATCGAGTGATTCTCTTGTCTTCATGGCGGGTGTATATTGACGGTAACGAGGTAATCTGTTACAGTATGTTGAATTACCACTGCAATCAGCGTTATAGCTTGGGCATGGTGTGTGTATAGTGCCCCACAAGCTGAAGTCGATGTCGGGGACGCCATGGGGAGTATTTACCCAATCATTGATCACATTTTGATGATTTATTGCATGTCAAACAAGGGTTAAATGTTAAACAGTAACTGATGTGAGGTCATCACTGGACATGTATGGGCACTTTATGAAGTTCGATTTGTGATATCTTCAATTTCGATGAATTCATACAGTCTGCTTGTTGCTCCTTTATAACGCAACGATGGTGATATATCTTGATCGTGTTAGTTGGCAACGACGGACGACGGACGGATACGTGTCCCGAATAGACATTCGTTGACCGCAATAGAAGCTGATAGTGGTCAGAATAGAGCTTCGGTGACGGCAACAGACGCTGATAGTGGTCAGAATAGACCTTCGGGGACTGCAACAGACGTTGATATGTTCCCAGAATAGACATTCGGTGACCGCAATAGAAGCTGATAGTGGCCAGAATAGACATTCAGGGACCGCAATAGAAGCTGATGAGTGTCCAGAATAGACATTCGGGGACGGCCACAGACGCTGATACGTGTCCCGAATAGACCTTCGGTGACCGCAATAGAAGCTGATAGTGGTCAGAATAGAGCTTCGGTGACGGCAACAGAAGCTGATACGTGGCCAGAATAGACATTCGGGGACCGCAACATACGCTGATACGTGGCCAGAATAGACATTCAGTGACGGCAACAGACGTTGATACGTGGCCAGAATAGACATTCAGTGACGGCAACATACGCTGATACGTGGCCAGAATAGACATTCAGTGACGGCACAGACGCTGATACGTGGCCAGAATAGACATTCGGGGACCGCAACAGACGCTGATACGTGGCCAGAATAGACATTCGGGGACCGCAACATACGCTGATACGTGGCCAGAATAGACATTCAGTGACGGCAACAGACGCTGATACGTGGCCAGAATAGACATTCAGTGACGGCAACATACGCTGATACGTGGCCAGAATAGACATTCAGTGACGGCACAGACGCTGATACGTGGCCAGAATAGACATTCGGGGACCGCAACAGACGCTGATACGTGGCCAGAATAGACATTCGGGGACCGCAACATACGCTGATACGTGGCCAGAATAGACATTCAGTGACGGCAACAGACGCTGATACGTGGCCAGAATAGACATTCAGTGACGGCAACAGACGCTGATACGTGGCCAGAATAGACATTCAGTGACGGCACAGACGCTGATACGTGGCCAGAATAGACATTCGGGGACCGCAACAGACGCTGATACGTGGCCAGAATAGACATTCGGGGACGGCAACAGACCCTGCTAAGTGGCCAGAATAGACATTCGAAAACAGCATCAAACGCTGATACGTGGCCAGAATATACTTTGGAGGATTGCAACAGACGCCGATTGTCTCCAGTAAACAAAGAGCGAAGTAGCTTTAAATATTACTCAGAGATAAATCAAATAGCACCTAATGACCCAAGCGCATGATAATTAAACCTGATTTGAGCAGGAGCCATTAAGTCAAAACATCCTTTTTCGTATGATAAGACAGTGAAATCAGAAATCCAACACCATGGACTCAAAACACCTAACTTTATAATGAAGGTGAACATGCATTAAACCAATCAGATGTAATTCGGATATGACCCTCGAGGTCTTGTAATGTATTTAACCCCTGTATCTTGAGCCCACGACCTCGTATACGATGTGAATGTACTGAAATGCCCCCTCTATGGGCCGAAACGCCCCCCTAAGCTACGGTCAAATGCAACATTCATCAAACAATGAAGCGTTCAAGTGGTACGTGTATCATGGGTCGACTCTTCAAACATCTTTATACAGGTGGTAATTTAAAGAGGGCATATGGACCACCAAGACTGGCCTATTCAATCTCCACACTATGTGAATCACGCGTGAACCTGGTGCCACCATCACTATGCGTCAGTGATGCAGACACATGGCTCGCTTGCATTATATTGGAAAGCCTGTTTGTATCTGCCATAAACACAGCCGCGGTATCTCAGTCAGTTCCACATGAAAGTTGTCTTGTCGTGGGCTTCCAAACCTACTTGCTGGCAAATGTAACCTCTCGTTAATGCTGTGATGATTTGTTTATACTTTAAATCAAATCTTGAAGGGTCTTGCGAGTCGGTTCTGAAAATCGTTAGTATTTCATCATGACGGAGGTGTACGGATGCGTCAACCTAATTCAGCTTGGTTACTCGTCATGAACATGACTAACTGTCCTCCCACATCAACTTTAGAAGCTTGCTGATTTGTTGGACTTCTTCGTTCTGGCGGAGACAGATATCTGGAGACGCTTCCTTTTGAATGTGTCCTCGTTTGATTCGTTTTGCATGACGGCTCTTGAATGTACACTGTCGTACAACCAACACGTTCCCGCATGTTCTAAAAGTTTCCTGGTTTCTTAGAACATAGTGGGGAAAAGTTGAGAGGATAGGTGTGTGGTTCAGTGACAGCTCGAGAAACGTGGAGAGGTTGATAATAAGACAGAGGCGAAGTAAGCGGTAAGTTTCATATTGACATAATGTTTTCAAATTGCATTTCAGATGGATTGATGGACATGTTTTTACTCATGATATAAAATCTGCCAACAGTAAGTGTACATTTGTTTGAATATGAACAAAGAAACACAAATAGGAAATATTTCGCTAGTGTCATCATTGATTTTCAGCGATCTATTCTTATCATTTTCACCGCTATTTTGCCTTTTACGCCCTATGGAGACTGTTTGGTTGGATAATCGGGACTGGTTATTCTCTGGCGTTGACGTTTTATATTTACTTTTTAAATTAACATCTGAAACGGGTATCTATTTGAAAGGGTAAAAGTCAGTATTCCAGTTATATCACGTCGTGCCAGCTTCAGGTGGGAGGAAGTCCCGGAGTTATGTAGGTCTCATACGTTCTCCACTTTTGTGAAACCCACGAGTCACGGGTATGGTGCTGACAAACCTGGAAAGACAATCGAGGCGAACCGGGATCTGAACCCAGATCATAGGTTTCTGGTATGCAAGGGACGCAGCTCTGCACAGCGAATCGCGGCGCTTCAGACGACTTGGCCACCTATGCACTGCTCAACCATAAGGGATGGTTCTGGACTTGTGGGATGTGTAAACGGCGACTATGCTTGTCAGAAGAGGCGACTAACGTGATCGGGTGGTCAGGCTCGCTGACTTGGTTGATGATTGTCATCATATCCAAATTGTGTGAATCGATGCTCATGATATCACTCACTGGATTGCCTGGTCCAGACTCGATTACTCACAGACCGCCGTCGTGAACACGTAACACAGGAAAGAGCATGTCAACAAATCGGTACTGAAGTACAATTTAACCCTGTTATTTCACTCACTGGTTATAAAAAAAAACAATGTCAGTGTACATATGCTCTTATGTTTGTAATCTATTTTATTCAAAAATTGATTCAATATTGTTGACATTAGTTTCGGTGAAATCGTGTGTGAGCTGATCGTCACATCAATGCATCGTTATTTATAGTAAACCAAAATAAGACATTGAATGGATACGTATATCATAAATGCCCCATGTCTGGCTGTTTGACTATTATGGATCAACATATTGTTTTCGCGATCGAAATAGCAAAACCGCGGGAAGCCTCAAACGGTTACACGTCAAATTGTTCAATACGTAAAACTTAACCGGCAATAATATTACAAAAGTGATACGCTTATGGTCATATAATAAGTAGTAAAATTAGCAACTTTAATTTCAAGATATTAGAACATACATTATTCCTGTTCAAATATATATATTTGGGATAAAACTTTCTTAGTAAAGTACAAATTCTTGTACTTTTTATGGTTGAGTCCCATCCGGGATTCGAACACACATTCGTTATCCCAAATATAACATTTGTTACATTTGACCACTTTCTAAATGTCATTGTGTAATCATATTATTCCTGGTATACGAATAATTCAGATACTATGGCTTCCGGCCATTGCAATAAAATTATTTTACTTCAACACTAGACTGATTATTACTGTCAAATGACACATGAATTAATAATTCGCTAGGTTATAGGTCGATGTCAAATGTCCAACTCGATAACGGTAAATGAGGAAAGAGCCACCCAATCATAACTGACGCCCACACAGATCATCAATAGTACCAATACCGTTACGTGATCCGATGTCAGGAATAATACTCGGAGTTGGAGTTGCTGACCCGCCAATGTTCCTGCAAATCTTGCCACTGTGTTTAGAAATTCAGTTTTTTGTCCAAAATTCCCATACGACTCTCACCATGCCAACGGTATTAAAAATTGCGATCCTGCAACTGTCCGCATCAGAAGGGGCAAGGATAGCGTTTTATGGCAGATTCTATCACATGAATCAATAAGTGTTTTTGTTTGAATCTGATCCAGATTGAATCGAGCTTTTGTAATAGTTTTCTGAAGGGAGGGAGTAAATGTGAAACTGTGCCGTGCAATTTGCAATCATCCAACTTCGTATCTGTGTTCCCCGGGAGCTCCAGATTTTGTATCAGCTTCAGAGGTTGGATGGCTCAGTGTCATGCGATTGTGTGTTTTTGTCCATCACATCTCATTTCGCTAATGTTTCTTTTGGGGTCTTTTAAGCCATTTTGGTAATGAGCTTAAGCTTCTTACTGTAACATTATATATGCATGCTTTGACGTATCATACGATTTATTTTACCAAGGGTAATGCATAATACCAAATTTTATATGATGAATATAAATTTGTTATCGTTCCGTTATCGATTGATTAACATTCGACTCATTAACCAACTCATAGCCAGAGGTACATAAAGAGACATGTCCAGATTCACACTGCTCCATGTCCAGATTCACACAGCTCCATGTCCAGATTCACACTGCTCCATGTCCAGATTCACACTGCTCCATGTCCAGATTCACACTGCTCCATGTCCAGATTCACACTGCTCCATGTCCAGATTCACACTGCTCCATGTCCAGGTTCACACTGCTCCATGTCCAGATTCACACTGCTCCATGTCCAGATTCACACTGCTCCATGTCCAGATTCACACAGCTCCATGTCCGGGTTCACACTGTTCCATGTCCAGGTCCACACTGCTCCATGTCCAGATTCACACTGCTCCATGTCCAGGTTCACACTGCTCCATGTCCAGGTTCACTCTGCTCCATGTCCAGATTCACACTGCTCCATGTCCAGGTTCACACTGCTCCATGTCCAGGTTCACTCTGCTCCATGTCCAGATTCACACTGCTCCATATCCGGGTCCACACTGCTCCATGTCCAGATTCACACTGCTCCATGTCCAGATTCACACAGCTCCATGTCCAGATTCACACGGCTCCATGTCCAGATTCACACAGCTCCATGTCCAGATTCACACAGCTCCATGTCCAGATTCACACTGCTCCATGTCCAGATTCACACAGCTCCATGTCCAGATTCACACTGCTCCATGTCCAGATTCACACAGCTCCATGTCCGGGTTCACACTGTTCCATGTCCAGGTCCACACTGCTCCATGTCCAGATTCACACTGCTCCATGTCCAGATTCACACAGCTCCATGTCCAGATTCACACTGCTCCATGTCCAGATTCACACTACTCCATGTCCAGGTTCACACAGCTCCATGTCCGGGTTCACACTGTTCCATGTCCAGGTCCACACTGCTCCATGTCCAGATTCACACTGCTCCATGTCCAGATTCACACTGCTCCATGTCCAGATTCACACAGCTCCATGTCCAGATTCACACTGCTCCATGTCCAGATTCACACAGCTCCATGTCCGGGTTCACACTGTTCCATGTCCAGATTCACACTGCTCCATGTCCAGATTCACACTGCTCCATGTCCAGGTTCACACTGCTCCATGTCCAGGTTCACTCTGCTCCATGTCCAGATTCACACTGCTCCATATCCGGGTCCACACTGCTCCATGTCCAGATTCACACTGCTCCATGTCCAGATTCACACAGCTCCAGGTCCAGGTCCACACTGCTCCATGTCCAGATTCACACAGCTCCATGTCCAGATTCACACTGCTCCATGTCCAGATTCACACAGCTCCATGTCCAGATTCACACAGCTCCATGTCCAGATTCACACTGCTCCATATCCGGGTCCACACTGCTCCATGTCCAGGTTCACCCTGCTCCATGTCCAGGTCCACACTGCTCCATGTCCAGATTCACACTGCTCCATGTCCAGATTCACACAGCTCCATGTCCGGGTTCACACTGTTCCATGTCCAGGTCCACACTGCTCCATGTCCAGGTCCACACTGCTCCATGTCCAGGTCCACACTGCTCCATGTCCGGGTTCACACTGCTCCATGTCCAGATTCACTCTGCTCCATGTCCAGATTCACACTGCTCCATGTCCAGATTCACACTACTCCATGTCCGGATTCAACCTGCTCCATGTCCAGATTCACACTACTCCATGTCCAGATTCACACAGCTCCATGTCCGGATTCACACTGCTCCATGTCCGGATTCACACTACTCCATGTCCAGATTCACATTGCTCCATGTCCGGATTCACACTGCTCCATGTCCAGGTTCACCCTGCTCCATGTCCAGATTCACTCTGATCCATGTCCAGATTCACTCTGCTCCATGTCCAGATTCACACTGCTCCATGTCCAGATTCACACTACTCCATGTCCAGATTCACTCTGCTCCATGTCCAGGTTCACCCTGCTCCATGTCCGGATTCACTCTGCTCCATGTCCAGATTCACACTGCTCCATGTCCAGATTCTTGTCTGAACCATGTCTGAACATTCACTCTGGAACTGTGACTGTAGCAGTCTCAATCAGGAATCTTAAATCTCAACAATGATGTTTAAGTCTGATGAACCATAGCTGTACAAGTCTGAATCATCACTGTGGATTACCTGCATTCAAATGTTATTCTTTCAACAAATTTAGCTGATTACAATTGCCAAGTTTCGTTATTTTGTCTTCCTACAGCATTGGGGAGGGGCTCTTGTAAATGAGTGTTCAGCCAATCCCTCTTGTCTATCATACAGACCCTGAAACAAATATATAAAATACAACGTATGCAAGTCCATAATGTTTGGCAAGCCTAGATTACTGCAGTATCAGACACAGTATAGTTATATTAAGACCTTATAGCTATAGAGTCATAGCTGAACGGAATTGCATAACAAGAACGGACGTCAGTTGATTATACGTTCTAGCAGTAATACTGGCCTCTGACAAGGAGGCAGATAGTATCGGGAAAGTTGCCTACTCGGGTGACATGGCTGATCCCGCGTGACGGGAGGTGAGATTTAGTTGCGTGAAGGGATTGCTCCTTCATCCTTTGTGTCGAAAACAAACAAGATGTCTGGTCACGGCTTTGCATCAGAGTTTTAAAGGTACGTGTTTGGATGTAACTCAAGACAAACAACGAACCAGAGCGTGCTTCAACATGAGGGGATTTCCTTCCGTTCTTTGAACTGGAATCTTTACATTGTTGGTTTAGACAGGTGTCGGACATCTAAATGGGGTTATCT